TCCCTCCCCACCTGCCCTCCCGCCCCACCTAGCTAGGCCAAGGCAGGCCTGGAGGGCTTTGCTGTGCAAACCACCACACAGGGAATGGAATCTGGATGAGACGCCATTGCCTCTGGGGCTGGGTGAGACCAGGCCTGCTCCCAGGAGCAGCCACAGCAGCGAACCATCCCCGGGGCCTCCTGGGCACCTAGCCTGTGCCGAGTACCCTCCCTGCTCATATCTTCAACTCCAGTCGCCCTGGGTGGTGGCTCCTGTCCATTCCCCCACTTGATGGATGAGGAAATAGGCCCAGAAAGGGGCAGCAGCTCGCTAGTGAGTGGTGAGACAGATTCAAACCCAGGTCTGTGCGTCCAGTCAGTGCTCCTAATTCCTGTGGCTTCCCTGGCTGTTTGCAAAGCCACCAGCTGTTCTGAGCCACTAGCACTTGGATGGGTCTCATCTCCCTGGGCCGGGCTGGGCGCTGCCCGCCAAGGAATTGGTGGTTGGATACCCTGCGGCAGCAGCCACTGGCCTGTGGTTTGGAAGCAGTGACTGTAATGGTGCCAAGAGCCACAGGCCCTGTGTGCCCCGGCATCTAGCAGAGTGTGGGGGGAGGGCCCCGCTCGGTCGGCCTGATTCCTTTGGGCTTCTCATGCTTCCCACCAGCCCCATCTCCGACAGCTGTCCGAGCTGGGGGCAAGGTCCCCAGAAAAGAGAGCATGTGCGCAGGCTGCGGCCTGCAGAAGCCGTCCTCCTCGGGGCTGTTTTGTACCTGCTCATTGGGAGGTTACCTGCTTCTGGGATGGAAGCGGAGGTGGGTGTCCTAAGGTTAGCTGAGGGCCCAACTGCCTCTCTGTTCACGAAGATGTCTGCTCCACAGCACAGCGCTGCCCCACCCCCGGGAATCCATCCGCAACTGTGCGCTCAGCATGGACCAGATCCCAGACCTGCACTCGCCTATGTCCCCCATCTCCGAGAGCCCCAGCTCCCCCGCCTACAGTACCGGTATGGCCAGCGGCGGGCAGAGGGGCCGGTGGGGGGATCTGGTGACAATGATTGTGTGTGTGCATGTGCTTTTGATGAGTTCTGTTACTGTCTGTGATTATGTGTTTTTCTACCTCTTTTCTGAGAGCGAGGCCCTGCAAAAATTTACTCTAAGAACCTGCTAGCAGAGCTATTTTTTAAAAATACATTTCTTTATTGATTTCAGAGAGGAAGGAAGAGGGAGAGAAAGAAATGTCAATGATGAGAGAGAATCATCAATCAGCTGCCTCCTGCACACCCCCCACTGGGGATCGAGCCCACAACCCAGGCATGTGCCCTTGGCCGGAATCGAACCTGGGACCCTTCAGTCCGAAGACTGAAGCTCTATCCACTGAGCCAAGCCGGCTAGAGCAGAGACATTGATGTTGACATACAAACAGTTCCACAGCTTGCTCATTGCAGTGGTTTGAGTCCCTAAACATGGACCACAAACGTTGTCATAACTATCCCCCTTCAAATCAACAGGCCTGAGTGTGAAAGTTAAAATCCCTTGTCAGAAATGATCAATTGGACAATTTCTAAGCAAATGGTGGACGCAAATACCCAGGAGCCAGGTTTTACCCAGCTCTCCCGTTGCTGACGGGCGACCTGGGACAGGTCAGCTCACCTCTCTGAGCCTCAGTTTTCTCACCTGCAGAACGAGGATCATAAAAGTACTTACCTCACAGGATACTGAGGAGGTTAAATGTGCCAAGAAGGATCTCACAGGCAGCAAGGTCCCAATTAGCATCACCTGTAACTTTGATGATGATTTTACTGTTGTTGACCAGTGTATCTCCAACATATTGCCAGCTCCTGGCACACGGGAACTCACTAAACCATCATTACTAATCCACCGAGAAATAATTCCACGTGGCTCCCTGAACTCCAGCAAGTGCTTAGCTTCCCTGAGTCGCTGAAAGCCCCTCCCACCCAACGCCTCGCTGAGGGCTGTGCCTTTGCTGGCGCCCACTGGGCCTGGGCTGTGTTGGAAGCAGGGGGTCCCCTGTAGGGTAGATGGAGGCTGTCCTTCGGGAAGGGGGTGGGGGCACGGCCCTGGGTGGAGCCATGGTAACCAGTCCTCTCCTTTTCTCTCCCTGCAGTGACCCGTGTTCATGCCGCCCCCGCAGCCCCCTCAGCCACAGTGCTGCCCGCCTCCCCGGTCACCCGCCGCTCCAGTGAACCCCAGCTGTGTCCCGGAAGTGCCCCAAAGCCCCCTGGGGAGTTGGACAAGGGCCCTTATGCCAGTCCCTCCCACACCCTCTGCAAGGCCTCCCCCTCACCATCGCTCAGCAGCTACAGCGACCCGGACTCTGGCCATTACTGCCAGCTCCAGCCTCCTGTCCGTGGCAGCCGCGAGTGGGCAGCAGCTGAGGCCTCCAGCCGGCAGGGCAAGAGCTATGGAGAGAGGCTAAAGGAACTGTCAGAAAATGGGGCCCCCGACGGGGACTGGAGCAGGGCCTTCACTGTCCCCATCATAGAAGCCACCTCCTCCTTCAACCCAGCCACCTTCCAGTCACTACTGATCCCCAAGGATAACCGGCCCCTGGAGGTGGGCCTCCTGCGCAAGGTCAAGGAGCTGCTGGCAGAGGTGGACGCCCGGACGTTGGCTCAGCATGTCACCAAGGTTGACTGCCTGGTAGGTGCTCGGTGCACCCTGGGACAGGGGCAGCACCCCGGCCCCTGGCGTTAGGACTGGGATCAGGGTAGTGAGGAGCTGGCCCCTAAATTCCCCAAACATAGCCAGTGGGGCTGGATTCTGGCTTCATGGCTGTCCTTTACTTGCTGTGTGACTCTGGGCTGATCACTTTGCCTCTCTGGGCCTCCATTTCCCCCTTTTAAAAAAGTTGGCCTGGCCTGTGGGGCTCAGTTGGTTGGGTGTCATTCTGTGCACCAAGGAGTTGCAGGTTTGAAGGGTTGATTCCTGGTCAGAGCCCATGCCCAGGTTTTGTGTTTGGTCCCGATGGGAGGCCTAAGGGTTGATTCCTGGTCAGAGCCCATGCCCAGGTTTTGTGTTTGGTCCCGATGGGAGGCCTGAAGGAGGCAGCTGATCGATGGTTCACTCTCACATGGATGCTTCTCTCTCTCTCCCTTCCTCTCTCTCTTAAAAAAACAACAAACAAAACCAATAGAAATGTTAAAAATAAATTTATAGAGACTTAAAAAAAGCAAAAAGCAAGATATTGCTTCCTTCAGATGTCAGCTTGGCACTGGAACTGGGCAGTCCTGAAACCCAGTGGTGTCTGACTTCACTGTTTGAGTCTGGCTAAAGTCCGGGGCTGGTCCAGGGAATGTAAATGACCCAATTCCCCGCCCCCACACCCCCTGGTGGACAAAATAAGCAAAACTCATTACCTGAGCCCATAAGTTGTCAAAGCCCAGAGTGTTTGCTGTGAATGAGCCTTTGCTCATGTCAGAACCCCAGCTATCTCTGCACCTCGCTTTCTCCCTCTGAAGTTTGGACGGTTCCTGGGTCGCACTGGTCTCCGAGCTCAGGAAGCAAGAAGAGAGAGTGCAGGGGTGTTCTCTGAAGAGCACTGAGGCGTGAAGGGAGCAGCCCTGGGTTCTAGGCCCTGTGTGTGACGTTGGACTGACCCTTTCTCTCCTTGGGACTCAGGTTGACCTTCTGGAATAAGGCAGTCCTGGTCCTTAACTTTAACTGAGTATTTAACACGTCAGGCACTTCTGGGCATTTTCCCATTTATTCCTCATTTCGCAGATGAGGAAAAGAAGGCTCATTTGCTCCACCGCAGAGGGTTAGCAGTAGAGCTGGGATTCAAATCCGGCCTCCCAGCCAGGCTGCCCTCCTAGATAAAGCTTTCTGACTCCCAGATGGCTTGGGCCAGCCAAGACAGGAAATTAATCAGCCCTCTGGGCGTCCTTGCAGGTTGCTAGGATACTGGGCGTTACCAAGGAGATGCAGACCCTAATGGGAGTCCGCTGGGGCATGGAGCTGCTCACCCTCCCCCATGGCCGCCAGCTACGTCTAGACCTGCTGGAAAGGTAAGGGAAACCACCCCCCCCAACACACACACAACCGCCCCCATGCTGGGGGACTCTTGTCCTTTTGCTTTGGCCAGCTGGCCAATCACAGTCTCTCAGCCTGGCTCCCAGGGGTTGTGGCCACGCCCCCTATCCCACTGACCAAGTGCAACTTGTCATTCTTTTGCTCCGAGCAATTCTGGTTTCTCAAAGACCCAGTCCTTTAGGGATTCACCTTTGCATCCTCCTGACCAATCATAGTCCATGAATCTTTGCTCCGCCCATCAGCTCTCTCACTCTGGCCACGCCCCCTGACCTCGTGGACTCTACTACCTCCCAGTTTGGGCTTTGCTCTCCACCCACTCGGTGCCTAACCAACCCCTGGCAGTGGCAGGAACCCTCCCCCCACCCCTGGTCCCGCCCTTGGTCCCGCCCCCCTGACCTGGCCTCTGCGACAGGTTCCACACCATGTCCATCATGCTGGCTGTGGACATCCTGGGCTGCACCGGCTCTGCCGAGGAGCGAGCGGGGCTTCTGCACAAGACCATCCAGCTGGCCGCCGAGCTTCGGGGGACCATGGGCAACATGTTCAGCTTCGCTGCGGTCATGGGCGCCCTGGATATGGCCCAGGTACGGAGGGGCCCTGGCCGAGCGGGTTCAGGGGGACTGTCGCCCTGGGCTGGTTGCCTTCGGGATGGCTGTGTAGTGATTCCAGGAGAACTCAGCAGCACTGGGGAAAGGGCACCTGGAAGAGTGGGTTCTCTAAGTGCTGACCTGCTCCGACACCAAGCCTGCCCCTTCTCTGGGCCTCAGTCTTCCCACCTGTAAAATGCATGAGGTGCATATAGGAGTATCAGTCATTTAGTGAGCACTTACTGTGTGCTGGGTGCTAGTGCTACACTAAAGATTTTACAAGCACGATTCCTCAAAACAATCTCGAGGTAAATGTCTTTATTGTCCCCATTTTACTGACGGAGAAATTGAGGCAGAGCAGTACTTGCCTACGGTCACACAGTCAGAGGCTGAAAAAGTTGGGATTAGAACCAGGTCTGTCTTAATTTCATAGCCCAAACCTCATCCACACTGTACTTCCTCTCCTATGCCTAGTAAATAATAACAATGGGGTCCTGCAGGCCGTGGTTCAGCTCCCAGCTCTACCACTTACTTTTGGAATGACCTTGGGCAAGTCATTCCCTTCTCTGAGCCTTAGTTTGCTCATCTGTAAAATGGGTTGTGGGAGGGCTTCATGAGGACTTAGCACCGTCCCTGATACATGAATGGTGATCATAATAACCACGCATCTGGGCATCCACTCGGCAGGGCGGCCTGTGGCCCTTGCTGGCCGCTTTCCTGGCTGGTCGCTCACGGTCTGGTCTCCCCAGATTGCCCGGCTGGAGCAGACATGGATGACTCTGCGACAGCGACACACGGAGGGTGCCATCCTCTACGAGAAGAAGCTCAAGCCGTTTCTCAAGAGCCTCAATGAGGGCAAAGGTATCCCCCTCCCCCATGTTGCTGTGTGACCTTGCACAGGTTTCAACCCTCTCTGGGCCCAGCAAGACCCTCCCGTGTGGAAGATGAGAGCTTGACTGAGCTCTGTGCGAGCTATTCCTGCACTCACTCTGCAGCTGGCAACTGTCAGCCCCGTCCAGGCGTGGCCCTTGGGGCTGGGCCAAGGGTGCGATAGATTTAGTTGAAAGAATCTGAAAGGAACGGTCTGTCCAGGAGTCAGGAGCCCCAGGGGTTTTCTGGGACCTCAGGCAGGCCCCACCCTTTCCCCTTCTGTGTCTCAGTTTCGGGGGCCACAGTGGGCAGTGGGGCCCTCCAGGGTCTCTACGAGCCTGCTGTCTCCCTCCTTGCAGAAGGCCCGCCGCTGAGCAACACCACGTTTCCTCATGTCCTGCCGCTCATCACTCTGCTGGAGTGTGACACGGCCCCGGCCGAGGGTCCGGAGCCCTGGGGCAGCACGGAGCACGGCGTGGAGGTGGTGCTGGCCCACCTGGAGGCTGCCCGCATGGTGGCACACCATGGCGGCCTGTACCACACCAATGCCGAGGTCAAGCTGCAGGGTGAGTCCGGGCCTGGGCCTCCCTCCACTTGCTTGGCTCTCCCCTTCCCTTCAGATGTTCATTCTCATTTTCCACTCCTCCTTCCTGCCCTGTCTCCCTGACTCATTTTTCTCATCCCTTTTCTTCCTCACTCATCATTTCAACAAGCAATCGTTAGTGGCAGGCACCAGGTAGACACAGATGATTCAAAGAGCATCAAAGCTGTGTGTCTTAGCTTCTCTGAGCCTCAGTTTTCTCATCTGTAAAGTGGGTGTTCTAACGGGCCCACTTTAGAAGGTTGTTTGCACAGTGCTATGCCTGGGGGCCTGGGGCTGAGACAGACCTGCCCTCCCTTCCAGGAGCTCTTAGCCCTGTTGAGAGGTAGAACTCTTATGAAAGGAGCAGAGAAAGTGGCTTCAGACAATCCATCTTTTACTGCTTTAGGCATTATTTAGTCATACAAGTTTACTGTAGACAAATTGGAAATGAAAGCTGAGCAAAAACAAGCTAAAAAAGTCACCCACAATTACCCAGATGTAAGCGCTGTGAGCATTCCAGTGCATGTCTTTCCTTTTTCTTCTTCAGAAAGAAAAACACACATAAAAAAACACGTTTTTTGCACTGACTTACAAATGTATATACGTTTCTTAGAAAAAATTTTGGAACTTGCAGAAAAACAAAAAGGAAAAGAAAAGGCACTCAAGCCCCCCCCCCATTAACATTAATATTTTATCTTCCAGTCATTTTAAAATTATATGTTGTAAATAGTAGGGCAAAGACTAGGTACTAAACTGTGAGGCCATGCCCATCAATAAACCTCGCTGAATCCCTGGCAGAGCTGGGGGAGGGATGTGGTGGCTCCTGCGAGAGCCCCAGCCTCCCTAGCTGTGTGGCGGTCCCCTAACCGCTGTGCCCCGCCCTGCAGGGTTTCAGGCCCAGCCGGAGCTCCTGGAGGTCTTCAGCACCGAGTTCCAGATGCGCCTCCTCTGGGGCAGCCAGGGCGCCAGCAGCAGCCAGGCTCGGCGCTATGAGAAGTTTGACAAGGTTCTCACTGCCCTGTCCCACAAACTGGAGCCTGCCGTCCGTTCCAGCGAGCTGTGACCCCCGTGGACCCTTCCCCTCTGCAGCTGCAGGCAGCATCCGGGACAGAGGGGCACAGACCTTTCTCCAGAGCACCCCAGGGACACTGTGACCAGCCCAAGAATGTACCGGACTCCACGCCAAGATCTCCCTTGCGCCCCGGGGTCCTACGTGGATTCTGGGCTCCGTCCCACCTGCTACATGCTCACCACGTCTCCCTTCAGGAAGAACCAGGATCCCTGTTCCTCCCTCCGGCTCTGCCTCTCCCCGTCCTGCTGAGGTGCCCTGTGTTTGAGCCATGGGAGGCTCCTCACGCCTCCTCACTCTCCTCCAGGCATCTGCTCCCCACCGACACCAAGGCCTCCATCTGGCTGTAAATAGTCTCCGTTCTGTAAATAGATGTACAGAAACCATGCTCTTTCTTTCATATAATAAACTTTTATGTCTCTTTTTTCTGTCTCTCAGGAGGCCCTGAGGTGGAAGGAAACATCTTTTCTCAGGCGAAAGGGGAAAAAGTCCATTTCACAAATATTTATTTAGCACCTGGGACATTCCAGATTGTACCAGGAGCCGGAGTTACTGCTAATGCTGAACCCCAGTCCCTGCCTGGAGATCACAGCCAGTGGGGGAGATAAACAGCCGATTTCAACCAGTGGGAGAAATTCTGACCTGCTCCCCTCCTCCACTCCCTGTCCCCGGGAAGCCATAGCAAAGGTTCCCCAAATGCACCGTGAGGGATCCCAGATGTGTGGGATGGGAGGGCTTTTTGAAATCTAGGAATCTACCTCTCTGGGAACCCGAGAACTGTGACCTGGGTCACAGCAGCAGAATGAGGGAGGCTGGAACTTGGGTGTCCTGACTGGAGCTGTCTTCTCTCCTCAATAATGGGAACTACTAAGCTTCAGGCTTTGAAACGTGGCCTCAGAAGTGGTGTGTGTGTGTGTGTGTGTGTGTGTGTGTGTGTGTGGAGTGGGGTAGATAATCTTTGAAAAGGGACATGAACACGGTTGTCTTGATTCTATAGGTGGGAGGGGTAGACCATGTGGACCAGGCAGAGCCCTGCCAGGACGGAACTCTGGGGAGCCCATCCACTGAGTGTGAAACATATGGGGTCCTATCTGTTCTGAATCCCGTGACAGAGAGGCTGGGTAACACAGTGCATTAGATCTTCGGCGGCAGCCAGACTGGGTTCAGTTCTATTGTTTACTGGCTGAGTAACCATGGACAGCAGGCTTAACCTCTTGGGTTCCCATTTCTACCTCAATAAAATGGGAACGATAACAGAATCAATCTCTTAGGATTGGTGTTGAGGCAGTTAGCGCATAGTAGTTGCTAGGTAAGGAACCACTATGTTTTATGCATGATGGATTGTCAATGATCATTTATTGATTACTTTAATCCAAAACACTTTATGTGCCTGTACCTCATTGAAATATCACAATTTTTCTCTATGATAGGTACTGTTATCACACAGGATATATAAGGTACCTAATACTAATGGCACACAGTAGGTGCTCACCAAAAGCTATTCGTATCCTTAAACATGAAAGGCCCAGCTGTAGTGGTTCAGTGGTTGAGCGTCGACCTATGAACCAAGAGGTCACAGTTTGATTCCCAGGTTGTGGGCTCGATTTCCAGTGTGGAGCTTGCAGGAGGCAGCTGATCAATAATTCTCTCTCATCATTGATGTTTCTATCTCTCCCTCTCCCCTCCTTTCTGCAATCAATAAAAACATATTTTTAAAAAAGCATGAAAAAGGTGCTTTACAAGGTGTAAAGTGCCACACAAGTTTTCACTACAATTGTTACATTACCCTTGTGGTCATAATTCCTTATTATTTTTTTTGGAACTACTACTATGGTCCCCTAGTTACCATGGTTACGGAAACGCGGGCCTCCATCCCGAATTGGACAGTTCGGGGGCTCCCCCTGGAGGCCACCTTCCGGTCCTGCGGCGGGACGACTGGGCGGGCCCGCGAGAGGGGCGAGAGGGGCGCCGGGAGTTGTAGGCCAAGGGCGGTGGCTGCCGCGGAGCGATGCACGCCGGGAGCTGTAGTTCTCGGGAGAGGCGGTTGGCGGCCCCAGACCTAGCTCGGGCCTCGCCCGGATGGCGGCTGAGACGCGTGGCCGCCGGCCGTGGGGCTCGCGCCTCCTCGGGCTGCTCGGGCTGGTTTCGGTCTCGGTCGCGGCCGCCGCCTGGGACTTGACGTCATTGCGCTGCAGCTTCGGCACCTTCTGCGAATGTGACTTCCAGCCCGACTTCCAGGGTGAGGAGCGGGAGAGTGGAGAGGCGGGCCGACCCGAGACCCCACGGACCCCGGGACTGGACCTGAGGGTGGAACCGAGGGGCGGAAGGACCCCAGACTCCTGGACGGCCGGGCCGGAAGTGGGTCCTGTGTGGAGAGGCTGGGGCTCGGGACCTGGGGCCAAGGTTAGGGGATGCTTGTCTGGGTCCAGGCAGAGCCCTGCCAGGATGGAGAGGCCTTTGACAGCGGGGCCGCGGGGCAGGGCTAGGCCTCCCCAGGGGAATGGCCGCCGAGGGAGAGGCTGACCTTGGGAATAGGCAGAGGGGTCTGGGGCAGACCCTGTTGACGGCTGGCACCCACTTAGGGCTGAGCGCAATTCAGAGGGAGGCCTGGAGGGGGCGCTGCCAAGCTGAATTAGGCCTGAGGGTGACTCCTGCGGCCGGCGATCCCTTGTGAAAGCGTCCCGGGCCATAGGGATCTCTAGACCCGGTTCCAGAATCACTTCCCCCTTGAACCTCTTCCGGCGGGAGCGTGTCCTCAGCTCTGACACTGTCCTTCTTGTGGCCCTAGGTCTGGAGTGTGACCTGGCCCAGCACCTGGCCGGCCAGCACTTGGCCAAGGCGCTGGTGGTGAAGGCGCTGAAGGCCTTCGTGCAGAACCCGGCCCCCACCAAGCCGCTGGTCCTCTCCTTGCACGGCTGGACAGGCACTGGCAAGTCCTATGTCAGCTCCCTGCTGGCGCACTACCTCTTCCGGGGTGGCCTCCGCAGCCCCTATGTGCACCACTTTTCTCCTGTCATCCACTTCCCCCATCCCAGCCACATGGAGCGCTACAAGGTAGGCTGGTTGCATCCTGGACCATCATCCCCCTGCATCAGGGATGCCATGCCCTAGGAAGGGAGGGAGTCCTACGCCCAGAGAGGGGGGTTCACTTGCTGTAGGCCACAGTCGGTGGGAGCCAGTCCTCAGGACCCATCCCGAACAGAGCTCGGGACGATGCCAGTCTACCTGGCAGGGAGTTCTCGCTTTCATTCTTGGGGGTGAGGCATTAATGGTGTCTACTTGCCAGGGTTGTTCTGAAGAACATGAGATTATAGAATTACAGGTATTAATTATTGAGCACTTACCTTTGCCAGTCTGCATTATCTTCTCTCTGAAAAGCACTTAGCCCCAACTTGAGGCTCAGAGTAAGTACTTAGTAACTACAAGCTGTTATTGCTACTATTATTATTGTTTTCACTACTGTTGTTGTTGTTGTTATTGATGGCAAGGCACTTTCCAGGCTGAACTAACTGTCACAACTGCCGGGAGCCCTGTCTGGTGTGGCTTACTTGGTTGAACAACTCCCTTGCACCAAAAAGTCACTGGTTAAATTCCCTGGCATGGCACGTGCCTTATGCGGCTTGATCCCCAGTAGGGGTCGTGCAGGAGGCAGCCAATCGATGTTTCTCTCTCTCTTGCGCTCTCCTCCCTCCTCTTCTAAAAGTCAATGAAAATGTCCTCTGGTAAGGATTTTTTGCAACAAAATATTGCCCTGGCCGTTTTGGCTCAGTGGATAGAGCGTGGGCCTGCGAACTGAAAGGTCCCAGGTTCTATTCTGGTCAAGGGCACATGCCGGGGTTTCGGGTTCGATTCCCAGTGGGGGACTTGCAGGAGGCAGTGACCCATGATTCCCTCTCATCATGGATGTTTCTATCTCTCTCTCCCTCTTCCTTCCTCTCTGAAATCAATAAAAATATATTTAAAAATAAGAAAAAAAAAACACACCCAACAAAACATAAAACAAAACTGCTGAGAAAGTTCACGGGGCAGGAAGGAGCCTTCCCTTTTATAGAAGGCAGTAGGTGTCAGGGAAGGAGCCCGGAGGCAGGTGCCGGGTCTGGGTTTGTGCGGTGACCCGCACCTCGGAGAGGGTCCGACGGGTAGAGGTGGCGTGGGATGAAATACAAGAGACCATGAGACGGGGTTGGGAGGACTGGCACAAGGCACCAGCAACTTTATTCTTTACACACACTGCTTTATAGCTGAGCTGTGGCTGGTCATGCTTCATAGATCACTGCTAGGACTTGGTCTATCATAGGGAAGTAGCAGATTGTTACAGGCTGGGGAAGGCTGCGGA